GGAAAATCACCTTGTAATATAAAAATTCCAAAATTAATGATGACCATAATACAGAATTAATATACAAACAGTGGTGAAGTGGTGATGAGGGACATTTGTGCTTCTCTGGAACTGTCAACTAGAGTCCATGGTTCAGGATAAAACTTGTCAAGTGTCTCACCTTTTAAGTTCAATGAGATAATTTCCTGATGCCAGTCCCATCCTATGATCTTTACTAACAAAAGGCACCTAGCAGAACCAGTTTCTTAAACCCTACTCCTTTAGTCTTTATAGAATAAGACACAGTGGGGGCAAGGACATTAGACCTTTGAAGGAAGGCTCATGATGTATTAACAATGCCTTTTCCCTCTCCTTGCCTTGGTGGAGAGCCTGGGAGGCAGGCAGCAGGGAAGTTTCTATGTGTTCCTACCTCTTCTGTTGAAATCTGTTTCCCAAGTTCCCTCCACTCCCCAGGAAGAACCGTGGGGGTGGGGTGGGGATGGGGCTGTGTGCCACGAGCTGACAGAGCATTTGGTGGTGGTGTTGATGGAGGGGTAAGAGAGAGCGCCCCAGGGCAGCCTGTGTTTCCACTCTTGGCTTGGAAAGGACTGATGGGTGCATGCCATGGAAGGTAGCTGGGGCTTGCCAGAAGCAGAGACTTTTAGATGTATTGCTTGTTGCCTTGGTAATAGGGGAAAAGAGGACAGGGGAACTGTGCAAGGGTGTGACCTTGGGGAGCTCCCTAAAGAGCTAACAATTTCATCCCCTTCAAAACCCAGGGCCAGCACTCGATTCCAGCACCTCTGTGTTGGACTAAGAGGCAGAGAAGGGATTCTCCAGCTCTGAGGCCATTTCCTATGTGAGCATAGGTCGTTCCCCAGCTTCCCCAGGCACAAAGAAGAGAGAGAAAGGAGAGGGAGTTTTGACAGTTTAGATTTCCAAAAGCACAAGAATAAATATTAGACCTGAAGGGGATGAAGAAATAACATGCCTGGCCTGGGCATGATGCAGGGTTGAGAGCCCAGAACATTTAGTGATGCTTGAAAATGAATGAATTTCACTCTTGTACACATCTATGTCGAGATTATTTCAATCGAACTTACGAATATGCTTGTGCATATACATAAAACCAGGCATAGCATTTAAAAGTCTTTTATGTTGTGTTTGATTTTACACGCTTGCAAAATTCCCAAGAGACTTTTACTGCATGGATTGTTTCGACTGAGGCATTAAATAATATATTTTCCATAAAGTTGGACATAAGATGCCTATCTCTCTTCCTGGAAAATCTCTCTATAACAAGCAAAGGCGTTTGTCATTACTCCAAAATCCTTTGAATTGTACTTGAAATTAGGGTCATCTGCCTCAAAAATTTCCGTTGCTTAGTTGATGAGTAGGCATGAAAGCATCCAAATGTTTTGAGTGTTTCCATGGGGACTTCATCAGTGATCCTCAGCACTTCCATTTCAGTAAGTCAGATGAGACAAGATGAGTTTGAATGACTTGGATCAGCTTGTCAACACTGGATAATTGATTTGACTTAACGAGGGACAACAGTGTCAGTCATTCAATTATTAGAAAGTCACAAATACGAATTTTGGATATTACCATGTGGCTGTTACTCATTTTGTTTTGTTTTGTTTTTTAGCATAACACAAGAATAGCCTACATAAATATGTAAAAATGCTTAATGATAACATATGTATCAGTTTGTTTGTATTACTACAAACTTAGTGGCTTAAAACTCAAATTTATTACCTCACAGCTCTGGAGGTTAAGTCCTAAAATCAAGGTGTCAATAGGGTAGAATTACTTTTGAGGCTCCAGGTGAGAATCCATTTCCTTGTTTTTTGAGTTTCTAGGGTCTACACAAATTCTTTGGCTGTAGCCCCTTCCTTGTACCACTTCAACCTCTGGTACCATTGTCACTTTTTTTTTTCCACTGTGAACCTTCTTGCCTCCCTCTTAGAAGGATGATCTAGTGTAAACCCGACATCTCAGAATTCTTAACTTAATCACACCTAAAGTCCCTAGTATTAAGCCATCCTTGAATTTTTAGAATAAACCTTATTTAGTTTTGAAAAAATTATTTGTGTACTTCTGGGTTGATGTTGCTAGTGTTTTAGTTAAAGCAAGTGAAATTTTTTTCTGTTATGTTGGCTTTGTTTTGAGGGTTATATTAACTTTGGAAAATAAACGGGGAAGTGTTTCATCACTCTATAATTTTGGAACTATTTAAATAACATGAGAATTGTTACTTGAAAGTTTTCAAGAACTTGCTTATAAAACACTCTGGATCCAACTCCTCTTTTGGAGATAGTTAATTGAACATTAAAAAATATCTTCTATGAATATAAGTTCATTCCAGCTTTCTAATTCTTACTATATTCATTTTCCTTGAAAATTGTACATTTCACTGGGTCCTAAGAGTTTATTGCCATAGAGCTATAAAATATATTTTTATAGTTAAAAATTTGCTTCACATCTGTGTTTATATTTGCCTTTCTCTCTGTCATTCTTTTCAGTTAACTTATCAGTTTGCATATTTTAATGCTATTTGAACAGATGAGATACTATAAAAACAATTTATTAATTCCACTGTTATTTTCTTGCTGCCTTACATAATTTCTACGTTGATTTTTATTAGTTCCTTCATCATATTTCTCTAAGGTTTATTTTTATGTATTTTCTATTACATATTCTGCATAAGTATTATTTAAAAATAATTATGGTCAAACACTTTATAAATTAACTTTTTTTCCATAATATATATATTTTTTGATTTATCAAAAAGATACACATTTTTACAATCAGCAAATTATAAGAACCAGGTTCAGTAAACCCACTTTCAACAGGTAAGTAGAAACAAAGTAAGAAAGGAGACACCAATGTTATTAGGGTTTGAGATGTACCATGCAGACATCAGACTAGGGGTTGCTTAGTCTTTATTAAAGTTATAGTTTGCATTTAAGAAAAGTTTCAGAAGATTAACCCATGATATACAAAAACATCCAAGTATTTAACTAAATTGATGTACTTTTTACTAACATTGCCTGTTTGCGGCAACATTGACATTATTGCCATAGGGACCATCCACAACATTTCCTCCAGACTTAACCCTGTGGCCCAGGCCCATTAGTCCAGCCACTGTAGGACGAATCCGTGAATGCCTTACTCCACACCTGCTCCTTTGATTCTCACAAATTTCTCAACAAGAAACAATAGAATTTTATTCTTAATGGTATTACAATTGCACAAATTAAAATCCAGTGACCAATTTTAGTTTTAAAAACTAGACGAGGGGGAAAAAAGATGTTATCATCAATCATGAATTTGGAAAGAGTTCTTTAACAAACAACGAGGGGGAGTTATTTTGGAAACAACTGTACTCTATTCTTATGTAGGATATTTTTCTATAGAAGGTGTCCTCCCTCTAGGGCCAAGAGGTGGAGGCAATTCTATCACCTGCTTCAAGGCTTCCTCTACCTGTACTGCCAGTGCCCCGGGCGTAATGAGTCTTCAGTGGTGGCTCAGTGCATCTCTTCCATGTAGACTTCGATCTCATTCCAATTTAGGCTTCTCTTTCTCTTCTTCCATACCTAAAACATAGGCAAAGTTGAACATCAGATTAAACTATGAGCAGCCTAGCCAAGCTGCTGAAAAAAATCCCATCTCTCTTCTCTCTACACTTCTCATCCACTCTCCTGCACCCACCTCTTTCCATCAACTGAGAAGAAAAGTCATTTACAGCTCTCTCCAGAAACTTCCTTGGTGACCTCTCTCCCCACCCTTTTCCTCCAAATCAGGACCTAACATCTTTGGGACACACCCAGTTCTTGCAGCTTCTGAGAGCGAGGGACTCAAGTTAGTTCCTGACTCACTGAGTTTGCACAGAAGCCCCAACCAGTCTGCTTCGTAACCAGCATCTTATGATAGTAGGTGTGCGAGAGATGAGTTTCAAACAGACCTTNTCCTGACTCACTGAGTTTGCACAGAAGCCCCAACCAGTCTGCTTCGTAACCAGCATCTTATGATAGTAGGTGTGCGACAGATGAGTTTCAAACAGACCTTCATTTTGATTTTTTTTCCTGTTCCTTCCCAATGCAAGGACTCTGGGTTGTCAAAAGTCAAGAAATATATATATTTCTAAGCTCACAGGGAGCTCATTAGCCACAAGAACTGCTTATTTTCATACCCATCTGTATTTAAACNGTTTTAGTTAAAGCAAGTGAAATTTTTTTCTGTTATGTTGGCTTTGTTTTGAGGGTTATATTAACTTTGGAAAATAAACGGGGAAGTGTTTCATCACTCTATAATTTTGGAACTATTTAAATAACATGAGAATTGTTACTTGAAAGTTTTCAAGAACTTGCTTATAAAACACTCTGGATCCAACTCCTCTTTTGGAGATAGTTAATTGAACATTAAAAAATATCTTCTATGAATATAAGTTCATTCCAGCTTTCTAATTCTTACTATATTCATTTTCCTTGAAAATTGTACATTTCACTGGGTCCTAAGAGTTTATTGCCATAGAGCTATAAAATATATTTTTATAGTTAAAAATTTGCTTCACATCTGTGTTTATATTTGCCTTTCTCTCTGTCATTCTTTTCAGTTAACTTATCAGTTTGCATATTTTAATGCTATTTGAACAGATGAGATACTATAAAAACAATTTATTAATTCCACTGTTATTTTCTTGCTGCCTTACATAATTTCTACGTTGATTTTTATTAGTTCCTTCATCATATTTCTCTAAGGTTTATTTTTATGTATTTTCTATTACATATTCTGCATAAGTATTATTTAAAAATAATTATGGTCAAACACTTTATAAATTAACTTTTTTTCCATAATATATATATTTTTTGATTTATCAAAAAGATACACATTTTTACAATCAGCAAATTATAAGAACCAGGTTCAGTAAACCCACTTTCAACAGGTAAGTAGAAACAAAGTAAGAAAGGAGACACCAATGTTATTAGGGTTTGAGATGTACCATGCAGACATCAGACTAGGGGTTGCTTAGTCTTTATTAAAGTTATAGTTTGCATTTAAGAAAAGTTTCAGAAGATTAACCCATGATATACAAAAACATCCAAGTATTTAACTAAATTGATGTACTTTTTACTAACATTGCCTGTTTGCGGCAACATTGACATTATTGCCATAGGGACCATCCACAACATTTCCTCCAGACTTAACCCTGTGGCCCAGGCCCATTAGTCCAGCCACTGTAGGACGAATCCGTGAATGCCTTACTCCACACCTGCTCCTTTGATTCTCACAAATTTCTCAACAAGAAACAATAGAATTTTATTCTTAATGGTATTACAATTGCACAAATTAAAATCCAGTGACCAATTTTAGTTTTAAAAACTAGACGAGGGGGAAAAAAGATGTTATCATCAATCATGAATTTGGAAAGAGTTCTTTAACAAACAACGAGGGGGAGTTATTTTGGAAACAACTGTACTCTATTCTTATGTAGGATATTTTTCTATAGAAGGTGTCCTCCCTCTAGGGCCAAGAGGTGGAGGCAATTCTATCACCTGCTTCAAGGCTTCCTCTACCTGTACTGCCAGTGCCCCGGGCGTAATGAGTCTTCAGTGGTGGCTCAGTGCATCTCTTCCATGTAGACTTCGATCTCATTCCAATTTAGGCTTCTCTTTCTCTTCTTCCATACCTAAAACATAGGCAAAGTTGAACATCAGATTAAACTATGAGCAGCCTAGCCAAGCTGCTGAAAAAAATCCCATCTCTCTTCTCTCTACACTTCTCATCCACTCTCCTGCACCCACCTCTTTCCATCAACTGAGAAGAAAAGTCATTTACAGCTCTCTCCAGAAACTTCCTTGGTGACCTCTCTCCCCACCCTTTTCCTCCAAATCAGGACCTAACATCTTTGGGACACACCCAGTTCTTGCAGCTTCTGAGAGCGAGGGACTCAAGTTAGTTCCTGACTCACTGAGTTTGCACAGAAGCCCCAACCAGTCTGCTTCGTAACCAGCATCTTATGATAGTAGGTGTGCGACAGATGAGTTTCAAACAGACCTTCATTTTGATTTTTTTTCCTGTTCCTTCCCAATGCAAGGACTCTGGGTTGTCAAAAGTCAAGAAATATATATATTTCTAAGCTCACAGGGAGCTCATTAGCCACAAGAACTGCTTATTTTCATACCCATCTGTATTTAAACTCAAGTTCTCCCTCTCGTCAACACAAGCTTGGTAGACTATGGTTTTCTTCCAGAGAGACTCATATGGACCAGTAAGACCTCTGTCTGTTGTTTGTAGTGAACAGCTAATGATGCTTCATTTTCTTGGAGACGAAAATATCCAAGTCATTCTCTTGAATTAAAGTTAAATCTGGCCAATGCTCACTTCTTTTTTTTCTAGCTAAAGGTTTTTCTTCTGATACTAAGTTCTTAGAGAATTTTTGCTGGAACAAAAATTGTTGCCTTGAAGGCTTTGCTGGTATTCTTTTGTAAACTACAAGCTCTCTGAGGGCAGAGCTCTTAACTGTTTTAGTCCAGATTATTGCCCTACACATAACACAGTGTCCTTTTCATAGTAGGAGCTCAATTAATCTTTACTGCATCAATTAATAAACAGTAAATATAGAGGAGGCCTCAGCAGGCTGGACGCTTGGGAAAGCAGAACAAAATATGGAGCTTCACAATATAAAAAATCACAAAGCCTAACTGCAGAGGGTCGCCATGCTAGGGCTTCATTAGGAGAGACCCCCCCCTCCACCAGCTCCTAGTGTGTGTTTTGTGGGGCCAGGGTGGTGGTGGCGGAATGTGGAGAACATGCTCTGAACAGGTGTCCTCAGACATTCTTTTAGATTTGGTTTTCATGACTAAGGAACTGGCGGAGATCTGTAACACTTTTTCCAAAGTAATTTTCAGAATCATATTAAGGAAAATTTCCAATCAAGAAGTCAGGACATCTACAGGGAGGAGGAAAAGGGTTGAGGGGGGAGGAGGCAGGCGATGCCTTAGCTGTTGGGTAACCAAGGCAAAGGCACAGAAACATCACAGATTCCGTTCAAACAACGCACGTGGCTCGGGTCCGCACTTCATCCCACGTTCGTCCCCGTAGAGAAGCTATCAGGAGCTAACGGCTTGCTTTTCTTTTTCAAGTCTGTTTCCTCCTAAGTGTTTTCCTGCAGATGGGTTGACTTGGCAGCAAGAGTGGAATCTTCAAAAGCAGGGGTGGAGAACAGGGGGTGTTCACTGACCCAGACAGGGAAAATCGCTCCCCACCTACATTCGTTTGGCAGCTTGGGGGGTGGAGGGAAAAAACTGGATGGCTATAAATAATATTTGGAAGAACCAGAGGAATAATTTCCACACAAATAGCAGAAAGAGACCTGTTAGAGCTGAGGCAGGAGGTGCTTTCGGGGACATGCAGGAAGAGCTGATTGACCCCGAGATGTCCAGTCACCTGTGATTCCCCAAGGCTGGGACAGGGGCTGAAGCGGAGGCTGGGCCTGTGGGGGGCGTGAGCTGGGGGAGAAGAAAGGTGGACGTTTCTCTCATATAGGCCTGGCTCTGGCCTCCTCTGTCCTTCTGTCTGCTTTTTACGCCCTCACCCCAACCTTTCACCCTCAGAAACCTTCATTTCTGGTTGTATGAAGTTTGACTTTAATAAGACTTGTCACCCCAGCCAGACACATTGGAATTGGAATAAATTCTTAAAGTACAAAAATATTTCAGCTGTTGTAGGTTGAATTGTGTCCCCCAGCAAATTCATTGGTTGAAGTCCTTCCTAATCCCCAGGACCTTAGAGTGTGAGAGAAGGCCAAGGATGTGGCTGAGCAACTGTTCACTAAAGAGATTAAGCAGGTGACCTGTGAATCCAATTAATCATCTCAGCAGAGCCAGGAATGACCTGTGGGGGACCCTTTGATGATCTAAACCCCCATGAATTACATGGGAAGCCAAAAGGGTTTTGAGAATTTTGTACCAGCAGAAACACTGCTAGCACAGACCAAAAGGGACAGGATGAAATGAACGAGCAATGACTCCAAAGGCATTTCAGGGGTTGGATCCTTCTTGGCTCCAGAGGGTAGGGCTCCTGCCCAGGGCTAAGGATGCAGGGCCACAGCGCCCTCCTGGTGAGTCCTGAGGACAGAACATTCAGCCAAAGAGGATTATTCTCAAGCCTTAAAATCGAATGGAATTTGCCCTGCTAGCTTTTCGACTTGGTTAGGAACTATGACCCTTTTTTACCCTGTGATTTCTTTCTTTTGGAAAGGAAACGTATATTCTATGCTTGTCCAGCCATTGCATTTTGGAAGCAGATAACTTTCTGTCTGGTTTCACAGGTTTGCAACTGGAGAGCAATTTTGCTTCAGGATGATACCTCCACTTTGACTCATGTGTGATTTAGATAATATTTAAGGTGAGATTTTGGACTTAAGAGTTGAGCCTGGAAAGACTTTGGAGGCTGTGGGAATGATTTTGCATGAATAAAGGATATGAATTTGGGCGGGGGGGCAGAAGGCAGAGTGTTATGGGCTAAGTTGTGTCTCCCCAAACTAACTCCCAATACTTTAGCATGTGAGTGGATTTGGAGATAGTTTCTTTACCAAGTTAAAATGAAGTCTCTAGGGTGGGCCCTAATCAAATATGACTGATGTCTTTATAAAGAAAAAATTGAGAGACAGCCTCATACAGAAGTGAGAATGCCATGTCAACATGAAGATGGCCATCTACAAGCCAAGGAGAGGCCTGGGACGTTACCTCTCTCACAGGCCTCAGAAGGAACCAACCCCCCAACATCTTGATGTTGGACTTAGGGAATCCAGAACTGTGAGACCTGACATTTCTATTGTTAAAGTCTTCCAGTTTGTAGTACTTCATTGTAGCAGCCCTAGCCAACTAATACAATATGCACAAAGCCACATGGAATTACTTTCTTTTTAAAAGAGTAAATTATTACCTATTAATTTAGCCAATTTTAAGGACTTTTTTCATAGTACATATCAGGTTGATCTGTTTTGTTATTTTATAAGCTAGGTCCATGGCTCTGGGCGAACTTTCTGAATTCTCACATGTCTGATTTTCGAATGGTGACATTCTGATGGTTCACTAGAAATAACACTGGATTGGACATCTGTCAGAAGCTGTTGAATCTGCAACCACCTTTTTTGGTGGGTTAATTAAGATTTCTGGGCCTCAGTTGTCTCAATAAAAGGAAAGGGGTGGCTTAGATGATTCCTAATCTCCATTTTAGTGTTAAGAGTCTGTAATAATGTAATTTCATCTTGTAGTTGAGGCCAACATAATGTGAGCAAGTGGAGGAAGTTGAGCCTTTAAAACTCATTATGGATAAAAAGAAGGGGGCTGAAATGTGGTATTCCTTCTTCTTGGGGGAATTTTATTTGGGGTGTAGTAAATGTACTCAGGATTATAATAGTGTACTCGACTGTATTCAGTTCATTCTGACATCACACACACACACATAGGACACACACTGCGTTTCACCTGCAGTTTCAAATTCAACTACCTACAGCAAAGTGGGCAGGTGAGGACCAGGGGAAATTAAATGGCCATTTAAAGGGGGCAACTGACACTCCATGCCAAACCACTGTTGCCAGAAGAGAACAGTGGGCTTAGTGTTGCCAGATCTGAAAACATTTGAGAAGATAAAAAATCTGGCCTTTATGTGTAATCTCCCAATTTTGAAATGTTGGTTCCAAATGTTGGTTCCAAAGTTTCAGTATATAGGCCTAACAAAACTTTTTGATAGATAAGATTTGGAGGAGGCCATCAGTCTGTGATCCCTCTCAGATATGAAAACGATGACCGCTTGGCACAAAACATCTGTCGCCATGGAATTAACTAGATAGTCCCATGCAGATAAAATTAATCTCTATACCTGACGTGAGTTACAAAATGTTAGTCAACTTTAACTCAAGTTGCTGAGGAGAATGGCACACACTGAATTGAACAGATGACTGAACAAAATCCTTGGTTCCACTATTCATTTATAACGTCTCACTCAAAGCTCCTAAAGGCAGTATTATATTAATCTTGGTTGGATTTTTGTTCTCTCCTGGTTTTCAGTTCATCTTCTCTTAGAAGTAGAATAACGGCCAATGACTGTCGGAATCAAGCCGACGGAGGGGAAATGGGTGGTCATAAACACTTCCTGAGTAACAGATATTGGACATGCAGTATTAGCTTAAATTGAAATATGGCTTTTCTCTCAAAAAGCTAAGAAGGTTTACATTTTATTTTTAATACATTTTGAAAGTTAACTAAATACTTTTATAAGCCAATTAGTAGAAAAAGATTACATATTCCCATTGAACAGAAAGGAAAATTATTAAAAGATTAATTTCTGGTCCCTCAAGCTGTGGCCTGAACGGAATAAAAATTTTTGACACTTTTCCTAATAGACCACTTATTAAAATCAAGCCAGCTGCTGAGAAAAGAAGCCCTCACTTTCCTCTGGGCCATTTAACATCGGCTAACACTTTGACACATGCCACCTTAGAAGATCCACGCACAAAAGAAGTCGGATTCAATACCCATGCAATGACTGTTTTATTTGTCTAATTAGGTCATGTTCCTGGCATAGCGTCTGGCACAGAGCAGGGTACTCGATGTTTGTGGAACACATCATTTTCTGGTGATGTCTAGAATGTCGTGATTGTTTCGGAGATGCCCAGAGCTCTCTAAACTTCCCAAGCCATCTTGCCTTTGGATGTATTTTCATGCAGGCCTCGAGTCGCTACATATCCGTGCTGCTGCTCTCTCCACCCTCCCATTCTTATGCTGTGTTACATACACTTTGGACAGGTTGTGCACAGCTTGGGTAAGATTATGTGCCTTGCCAAGATGGGGGCTCTGCCACACATAGAAACAAAAGAGAAATCAAATTGTAAGGTTAACAGTTTTTACAGCAATGAAGTATTATCCTTTAGTGCCCGGACTTCTCTGCCACTTTCAGCCCTTGAACGTGACAGTCACTGGTGCATCGCAGTGGCCTGGGCCCTCTGTGCTGCTTAGATGTCCAGGAGAATGTGGCGATGTCTCTGAGGCTACCGCACCATGCAAAGGATGACTTAAAAAGTGGAGATCTGGGTGGCTTTTATCGAGGCTGGTTACATTTGATTATCTATTTAGCTGGGGGTCCTTTAGCTAAGGCAGTATTTTATTAATCAGAGTGAACTCCCTAAATTTTTTTCTGTTAACACAACATTTCTTCCTATAAAATTTTATAGACCTGCTTTTCTCTTAGATTTAGATATTTTACTAGCTAATAAGACAGAGAGCATAACGAACCTTTCAGGTAACTGCCAGGAGCTCTTAAATTAACATTGTTATAAAAGAGTAACTCTTCCCAAGCGATCCTGTGCTGCAGTGGAATGTTCCTTCGGTCTCTGCACACACTTTTTAAGACCACACTTCTCTTATTTTATGCTCCCCTAAACAATACTTACTTCTCTGTGTATCCCAGATATAGCTGTTCAGAACTTCTCCCAGCAGGTACAAAAAGTTCATTAAGATGGTGGTAGATCCAAAGAAGATGATTCTGGCTCCTGGGCCAATGTGTTCCAGGAAAGGGTACACCCACATCCCAGTTACATGATGCACCCAACACACCCTGCAATGGAATTACAACGGAGACAAAGACGGGACTTATTCTCATGTCAGATTTCAGAGCCGCGATATTACCAACATCCCCCCCACTCCAGCCATTCCTCAGCAACGCCAGTCACAGGTTTACCTCTGACACTCCCGAGCTACTGGGAAATGTTGTTGTTTGTTTTCTTTCACTCTTTACTCTGAAATACTTTTAGACTCACAGAAGAGTTGCAAATATGGTATAAAGAGTTCCAGGATGCCCTTGCTGCATGCCCTTCCCTGCATGTTAACATATTGTATAATCCTGGTACACTGACTAAAACAAAGCAGTTAACATTGGTACAATACTAGTAGCTAAACCACAGATTTTATTTGGAATTTCCATTTCCCCATTAATGTCCTTTATCTGGTCTAGGATCCCCTGTTGTATTTTGTGGTCAGGACCTCTTACTCTCCTCCGATCTGGCAGTTCTTCAGTTTCTCCATGTCTTTTCTGACTCTTGAAGGGCTCTGGGCCGGGATGTGAAACTGTCATCTAAATATTGTCATACGATCTTTTTAATCTTCTCTCTACACAACCACATCCCATCTATTTGTAGATGACTCTTAAATGTCTATCTCTAGTATCAGTTGCACCCAATGAGGTAAATTATCCCCATTTCACAGATAAAGAAACTGAGAGTGGACTATAGAACTTGTCTAGAAAAATGGCAAAGCTGGGAAAGGAATAAACATCTTATTTATTTATTTATTTATTATTTATTTATTTATTTATTTATTTATTTATTTATTTTTTATTTTTTGCTGCATCAACTTACTTCCCTATATGAGGCATTTATCATTATAGGCCTCCAAAATTGAAGTGAAGGTTTTCTTTTAAAAGTTTTCTTGACTTATTAGGTCATCAAGCCATCTCAGATACAGAAGTCCTGTTATGTGGGGTTTCACCTGGATTGTTGTGAATGGTGCATCCGCTTGTCCCAACAGGTTGTGCTTTCACTGATCATTTCCTTGATATGATCAGCATTCAATTTTCTGCACAAAAATGACTCACAGACTTGCTCATCTATTTCTGGAGAGTTCTTGGTTCTTGGTTGACTTTCAATTTCTCTCTCAATCTAAGGCTCTCTTATCTCAATGCCCAAATAGCTTCTGCTTAATGTAATGATACCAATTTTAATTTTAGCCTCAAAAATTGATAACCATGGTGTGTGTGTGTGTATGTGCGCATGTGTGCATACATATATATGCCCATGTTATAGTGTCATAAGACTTCTGGGATGTTCTATTTTATAAAATGTACCTCCAACGTGATTCAGTTTAACATGCAATTAAAAATGACATTTATTAATGCCTCCTATCTGAGTACTGTGATGCACACCAGGGATACAGAAGTAAATGAGACAAAGGTGATTCTTGTCCTCATGCAGTACAGTCTAATGAGGAATACAGATATTAAAAAGGAAATGACTAGTGTAGTCAGAATTAAGAAAAGGTTCAGTGTAGGATGTCATGGGTGCTCAGGGACCATTTCCTGCTTTTTTTGGGGGAACTTTACACTTACCATCAGTGTTTCTTTCTTTTGTGTATTCAACTCCCTTTCAAATCAATTTTTTCATAGCTGATAAATATGCTCAAATGACTTTCATTAAAGCACAACAAAGCTTTTCCCATCCACTTTACAAAGACTGCTAGCTCTCCATTTCAAGGGCAAACTTCTCCAGTGAGTCTTTACTCATTGACTCCAGACCTCGACTTGGTGCTCATTCCCCACCCACAATAATCTGGTTTCTGTTCCTGATACGCCACCAAAACATACTGGCTCTTTGACATCAAGTTCTCCTGGTTTTCCTCTTACCTCTGGTGCTGTTCTTCTTGGATCTTTTTGTAAGTTCACCTTCACTACCAAACCATTAGGTGCTGAATGTCCTTAAGGTTATGCATATATTATGCATTCTCAGTTGATGGCTTTTATTTATGTCACTGCTCCATGTCTACTACCTATATGTGGATATTTCACAAACTTATGTCCCAGTCCAGATCCCTCCTCTGTTCCAAAACAGTCCTCATCACATCTCGTCTTGCGCGTCATAAAGATGCCCCCGTCTTGACATATCTGCAGCCAGCGTCATGCTTGTGTCCCTCCAACCTGGTCCTCCCCTCGTACTCCGTATCTCTGCAAATGGTTCTACTTCCATCCAGTTTTGCAACTCACACGGAGAGTCATCTTGGTACCTCCCTCTCTTTCATCACACATTTTCAATCCATTACTTTGTCCCGTCAAGGTTATCTCACCCATCTCTGCAATGTTTATTTTTTCCATCTCCATCATCAGCATCTTAATTTGTGTTGCCATCATCTATCTCTGTCTAGAGTACTGTCCTAGTTTCTAATTTGTCTCCGTATGGACTTTTGTCTCCTACCCATCCATCCTCTCAGCTGCCAGAGGGTCTTTTCAAACCAGAAATCTGAATACATTATATCCCTACCTCAAACTTGTCTATGGCTCCCATTGCCTTTTTTTGTGTTTTTGTTGTTGTTAAAGATCCACATTTTTAACAAAGTCTAGACTGCTCTTTGTAGAGTGGCTACTGCCTGTTTCGTCCTTCCGTATTCTACCTCCTTTTGTTACACTGGTTTTCACTCGGTTCCTTGATTTTGTCATGTTCCTTCCTGCCATGTGGATTTTCACATGCCCTCCTTTTTTTTCTGTCTCTGCTGTTACCTACCCCTTAGACTCATTAAATTATATTTCTCCTTTATATCTTAGCTCAACTATTATAACGAACCAGTCATTACTTAGAACTTTTTTCTGACCTATTATATTAGATCTGATTTTATAAACTCTTTCAGAACCATAAATTTCTTTTACTTTTAAAGCTTTGCTTTTTATTAGTACTTAAATTTGAATGACATATTTATTTGAATAATATTTCTCCTCCTCTAGAGTATCTAAATTTTGTGAGGTGAAGACCTGTATCTATTTTTATTTCTCATTGTATCCTCAGCACTTACCACAATGCCTGTCACATAGTGGGAGAAAGAATAAATGAATAAAGTTGCATTTATGCTGTGATAGGAGGAGTAAGAGTTAACTGAACAAAGATGGGAGACAAGAACATTCTAGCCAAATGGAATTGCATGTCCAAAGACCTGAAAATAAGTGAGAGCTTCCAGATATTCAAGAAGAAAACATTTTATTGAATTCAAGGGTGAGAGAGCACCAGGGGCAGGCAGACACCACACTGTGGGTGGTTTTTTAAGACATGGTAAGAAATGTAGACTCTGTCCTGGTGTTGACATCAGAAAGGCTTTGAGGTCTTCCTCAAATAAATAAATGTGAAACATATCAGATGGTCAGGAGAGTGGGTTATTGAATCTTTAGGATGTTTGCAAGCTGCTTGGTTGGCAGCTTAAATTCAGCCATGGTGGGAGTACTTACACCAAGGACTGTCAAATGCTATCCATTGGGCTCCCCCCACCCCTTACCTGCAGAAGAGCTGGTTGTTAAACATTTGCCAGTAACCTACTGGTTATTAACATTTAAAAAAGTAAGAATAGGAGAAAACATAATAGAAAATATCAGAAGGCCTTGCATATAATGATGATAAAAATGGTTTTGTGAAACTCTGTTTCACGTGTGTGTGTGTGTGTGTGTGTACACACATACACATGCATGCTGGATGGGTCGTTACGCAAAAGAAGTTTATTTATTTTTTTATTCACAGTAAATTAAATTTGAAAGGCATTGATTTAGGAAAGAGAACTGAGACAACCTGGTGACTGATGGACTTAGGCAGTTAGGGAACTGAGATGAGCTAAGGATTAATCATAGATTCCTGGCTTGATTTCATGGGTGGAGAAGGCTGCCATTTCCTGAGATGGGGAATGCTGTAAGGGAGCTGGTTTGAGGGGATGGAGAATTCAGTTTGGACATGCTGGGTTTGAGGTATCTGTAAGATATCCAAGTGGAGATATCCTGAAGGCAGTTACATGGGTTTGAACTGTAGAGAAAGGGCTAACGTGGCAACACAGATATTGGGTTCACTGGCAGAACGATGGTGGTTGAAGCCACCAAAACAGATGGAGATCACCCAGGTAGAGTATAAAGTATGAATAAAGTGAGTCCACGAGGGAGCCCTAAAAAAATAAAGACTTAAGAGATAGTTTGAGGAGGACAAGGCTATAAAGGAAACAAAAAATGTGAGCTAGTGACATGGAAGGAAGACAGAAAAGTGTAGTGTCTTGAAGCCAACGAATGAGAGGTTCAAGGGTACCCCAGACCACATTTATTAACACAGTAACTTTGAGAACTGAGAAGAATTAGAAAACGGACATTCCACCTACAAAGGAGAAGCAAGATATTTTTCTGGTTCCAAGTGGTATATGTATCATTCAAATCTATTTTGGATGCTGAATGGGTATGAATGATAAATAGTAAAGAAAAATTGACCTTGTCAAGCTCAGTAGCTCTTTACACCATATGGCCAAATGTCATCCTATCACATAATTCACGAGTTGTGGAGGTCCCTGGAGCCCTCGAGGAGCTGTAGTGAAGGAGGCATAGCGTCCCTCCCTCTTCTGGCTCTGTCACCCTTATGTATCCTGGATAGACACGTGTACCTATCTTACTACTGATGACCTTTCGGTTCTTAAGATGAGTTTATTTTAAAGAGGATTTAAAAACTGCTCTTATTATTCATATTTTGGTATGGAGCTAGGCTATTTGGCAGCTCGGCTATTAGGTCACAAGACAAAAAAGAACACAGACTCAATGCAGTAACAGCTAATAGCTAATGATACTGAATTCTTAGTGACAGGCACTGTGCTCAATGTTTTATATTTGGGAACAGTTTTATAGTAGTACCATCTTATAGATGAGATCACTGAGGCCCAAGGAGTTTCAATAAGTGGAGAAGCAGGGATATGTACCTCAGCAGGGTAGCTCTTAGCGTGTATGCCAGGCTCCTCTCACGCTCTGAAGACTGAGATACGATGGATGCGAACAGGGCTCTGGAT